CCCATGCATACCTTGCTTATTGGGTAATCTATCCCTGCAAATCATAACTTCAGAACTTCAAAACAGCCCCACGAATTTCCCTCCATAAAATCATAACTCTAGCCCTCTTCCTTTTCTAGTCAGGTTTTATCCAAACAGATGTCTCTCTGTAGTGGTTAAATAGTGTATCAGTTCCCTTTTGCCATTAAGCAAATGATCCAGAAAAAGAGCTGCTCTTTTGCCCTAAGTCAGGGCTTCCCAAATTTCCCTGATGATAAAAATCACCTAGGCCACTTTATTTATTTACTTTTTTATTGTGGTAAATATATAGGTAACAAAACATTTGCCATTTCTACATTCTTCACATGTACAGTTCAGTGACAACATTCATCATGTTGTACAACCATCACCATTAACAGTTCTCAGATTTTTCCATCATCTTTAACAGAAGCTCAGTGCCCCCGAATGGGCTGCTTTTTAAAAAGGCAAAATCATGGTCCCCAACTCAGACCAACAGAATCAAAATTTCCAGGGGAGAAGGTTAGTAAATGCCCCAGGTAACTCTTATCATCAGGAAATCTTAGTAAATCCTGCCCCCAAGTTAATCCCAAATGCTTCTAGGTGACCCGGACAAAAAAACAAAAAACTCATTGCTGCCGAGTCAATTCTGACTCACAGCGACCCTATAGGACAGAGTACAACTACCCCATAGGATTTCCAAGGAGTAGCTGGTAAATTCAAACTGCCAACTTTTTGGTTTGCAGCCATAGCTCTTAACCACTACGCCACCAGGGCTCCTCTAGGTAACTAGATCTTTTTCCCTACCAAAATGCCTCTCCCTCCTACAGGACAAGGCTTGTCAATCAGGGATGGATTACCCAATAAGCAAGGTACCCAGCCCACTGACATCGTGTCAATTCCGACTCATAGCAATCCCATAGGGTTTCCAAGGCTATACATCTCTATGGAAGCAGAATGCCACATCTTTCTCCCGCGGAGTAGCCTGACACTCTTCAGGCTCTTGCCCCCTGAGTCACTGGGTGGTACAGATGGTTAAACACTCAGCTGCTAGACAGAAGGATAGTGGTGTGAACCTACCCAGAGGCCTTGGAAAACAGGCCTGGCAATATGCTTCCCTTGAGCTGGAATCGACTTGATGGCAACTAACAGCAAGTGGGCTGACACTCTTTTCAGGCTCTTGACCCCTGAGTTAACAGTTAAACAGTCCCTGGC